GTAATGATCATTGGTATAAAAATTGTACTTTTCTTTTTTTTCAGACTGAGTTTTACTCTTATTGCCCAGGCTCAGTGCAATGGCACGATCTCAGCTCACTGCAACCTCCACCTCCCGGGTTAGAGCGATTCTCCCGCCTCAACCTCCTGAGTAGCTGGGATTACAGGTACGCGCCACTACGCCAGGCTAATTTTGTATTTTTAGTAGAGATGGGGTTTCTCCATGTTGGTCAGTCTGGTCTCGAACTCCCAATGTCGGGTGATCAGCCCAGAGTGCTGGGATTACAGGCGTAAGCCACCTCGCCCGGCCAAAAACTGTACTTTTTTTCGGAGAGGTGGGTACGGAGTCTTACTCTGTCTCCTGGGCTGGAGTGCAGTGGTGCAATCTCAGGTCACTGCAACCTCCGCCTCCTGGGTTCAAACGATTCTCCTACCTCAGCCTCCCGAGTAGCTGGGATTACAGGCACCCGCCACTACACCCAGCTAATTTTTGTATTTTTAGTAGAGACGGGGTTTCACCATGTTGGCCAGGCTGGCCTCGAACTCCTGACCTCATGATTCGCCCACGTCAGTCTCTCAAAGTGTTGTGATTACAGGTGTGAGCCACCATGCACAGCCAAAACTGTACTTCTAAAACACATCCAGTCTCAAATAGGTGTCACATATCCTTGCTACAATGTAGGTTCCACTGTTCTTTTTTGTTTACAACTCCCATACACAACCCTGTTTCTCTTCAAATTAAGAGAAAAGAAGGTAAGATCCCATTAAATCAATTCCTAATTCTGAATCAGGGAAATCTAAGTTGGAAATCCGATTTTCTTCCTTCTGACTTTTCCTTCCCCATTTCCAGGGCTATTTAAGCATAAAAGGAGTGTTAGAGCAGGCAAGAATCAAATAAGACTTGGAAGCGCCCATCGATATGGACTTTAAATTCCCAATCTAAGGCTTAGGCAGTGGGATTTAATAGCTGAGGTAAAGGCTTGTCAGTCAAATGGTCCATTCCAGGAAGAAAACCAATTATTTTTAGGTTTGATGCTAGAATTTAACTGACTTGTGGGAAACAGGAAATGTATCGACATTAATTGCCTTGAAAGCCCATCTGAATTCTTCCAGATTCCTCTCTTCCCCTCCCTGCCCTTGGCTTGCTCGGTGTTCTTTCACCTCCATCGTTACTGTGTAAGGAATTATTGGCAACTAGGCAAGAATGTCCATGAGCCTAATTTGAACTCTGCTGTCTTTCGGCGAAGAAACCAGAATCTAAAACTCTTACATCTCAGTGAGCCCCCAGAACCACCAGGAAAAATGAACTCCCAAAGGCGGAAAAATACCCACAGATTCAATAGGACATGAGTACACAGTGTGTTTCCAGGTCTAGCTCCACATGGCCTTTATACACCAAGTACCACGGGATTAATGCTTGCGATGCTCAACATTGCTTATGCATAGGATTAGATTTATAAATATAAATGAGTAATACTTTCAGCTTATCTTTTCTAAAAATTACTGACATAGCTGTAACAGCCTTAGCCACCAATCAGAAACCTCCTGTTAAAGTTAATATTCTTGCTAGTTTAAAATAGTTAGCTCACTCTGCCTATCTGACAACAAAAGTATTTACAACATCTATAATATCTATATATTCAAACTGCCACAATCATATAATTCATCTACTGAGCAATACCACATATTCTACCAGCATGCGGAGAACCTTTTAAGTATGTGGAAAGACCTAATGAAATGTACATCCTAACCCCAAAAAGGATATGACTTCTTCTATGAGCAATGTTCCACTCAAAATACTATGGGAGGGGCTGGGCACAGTGGCTTACGCCTGTAATTCCAGCACTTTGGGAGTCCGAGGCAGGTGGATCAACTGAGGTTAGGAGTTCGAGACCAACCTGGCCAACATGGTGAAACTCTGTCTTTATTAAAAATAAAAAAAAATTAGCCAGGTGTGGTGGCACATGCCTGTAATTCTAGCTACTTGGGAGGCTGAGGCAGGAGAATCACTCGAACCTGGGAAGTGGACGTTGCAGTGAGCCGAGGTTGTACCACTGTACTCCAGCCTGGGTGACAAGAGCAAAATTCTGTCTCAAAAAAAAAAAAAAAAACTTTGGGAGGGAAAAATAAAATGAAACACAAGTTCTAGAGATACAAAGTTAAACGTGATCATTCAAGGTCTACCTGGCACATGCTCCTTGTATATGCTGTGCTTTTGGTTGGCCATGGCTCACAGTTATCTGAGAATTTACTACATTCAAATGTAGTTTTATGTTGGCCAAAAAAATACAGCTACATGTTTTCACTTTCCAGATATATCGCTGTCCTCCACTCCCTTGGGCTTCTGATATGAAGAACTTGAAAACAGGTTTCTATGAGGCCAACTTGTCTACATCTCTGAGCCTGTTCAGTCAGAGACAGATATGTAGTGCTTTACAAGAATGGCTACCAAGGCCAGGCGCAGTGGCTCATGCCTGTAATCCCAGCACTTTGGGAGACCAAGGCAGGTGGATCACGAGGTCAGGAGATCGAGACCATCCTGGCTAACACGGTGAAACCCCATCTCTACTAAAACACAAAAAAAGTAGCCGGACATGGTGGCAGGTGCCTGTAGTCCCAGCTACTCGGGAGGCTGAGGCAGGAGAATGGCATGAACCCAGGAGGTGGAGCTTGCAGTGAGCCGAGTTCGTACCACTGAACTGCAGCCTGGGTGACTCAGCGAGACTCCATCTCAAAAAAAAAAAGATGCAGAAACAAACATGATTGGAGGAATCTAGGGGGAGAGGCAGAAATGAATATTGGCTTACTAGATCTCCTTTTAACCAAACTCATTAGATTCTCAGGCATAAATCAAATGTTGCTTTTTAAAAACCGTGTCAAGGTACATCATGGAACAGTGTGTCTCCTATTCCTACCATTTCAGATAAAGTCTGGTCACTCTTTAACTTCTCTACTTTCCCAGAATATGTGCGTAGCTCTTAACATTAAAATTAGGAAATCTTAACATTGGCCTATGATATCTCCTCATGTTAAAAAATAAAAGGAGAAGAATCGTACATGAACCAAAAATGCTTACGCTGTAAGAAATACTACTGGGAAATGACAAATTTTAAATCCCTTATAATGTGATTATGTCTACTAGCATGAAAAGGGATTATTCGTAACTGAAATAACTGAAATAGAAAATTAAGGAGCAAAACTCTTGGTAAGACAAAATACAGAACAGGTTGGCAGCATTTCCGTACCTGAAGAACACTCATCAATCATTCTGACTGTCTTGTGATAAAGCTTCAGCAAACCCACCAGTAAAATGAGATTGTTGTAGATTCCTATGCATTTAAAAGAGGACAGATATGTCACACTATGCAAAACATGGCATCATGTGATCAGAAAGACATTTAATCATTTGAAGCAGAACAATAAATGTCAGCAAATCCTTTGGAATTTAGTGCTTCTAAGATACACCCTTTAGGATGTTCCTGAAATAGATTTTATGCACCCAACCAATTTTTGTTTCTTCCGTAGTTTCCATTTGCAAAGGGACCTGGGATGTACGGATGACATGTGGGTGACATCGTGCTTGGACAGGAAGCTAAGGGGGGAAAAGACACGTGCAACAGAGAAAAATGCAGCAATGCATTTTCCAGGGCTTTCCTAGAGAGACAGCCACTGACTGCATCACGTCAAAATGAAAGCTTTCCCCAATGGGAACTTTTATTACAGTTCCTATTAAAAGAACAGAAGAAAAAGAGAAAGAGAAAAAAAAAACTTTCCAGTGTTCACAGGAAAAGAATGATTCCCAAATTATGATTTTTGAGAGGGAAAGACTTATTCATGGTAAATATGAAACACATGGTTTTCTCAGAGGATTTTTGTCCACCCTACACAGTAATATCTCTCATATGAAAGGAACAATTATTAACAGTTAAACACAATACCCCTTAGAATGCAGCATATATTTCTGTTTAAAGCCTGAGGTCCCAGGGAGCCTTTAAATAATGATTCCAAAGGGAACTTCCTGCTTCTCACTCTGGAGCAAGCAGAGTAGCCATATCCCACACACTAGAAAATGCAGTTGGGTGGACTTAGCTATCAACAGGATATTTGCCCAGTGGATCCATTTTCAGAATGTGAAGAGAGAAATTTCAGCCAACTGGGAAGGCCAGTGGCCTCATTAGGAAATACGGGACCTATTCATCCATTGTGGGTTGTTTCCGGATTTTTATTTGCCCTCATTGGTGTTTTGCTTTGCTTTATCATCAGGGTGTGGATCTCAGTGGCTCTTAATCCCAGATGTACAGGAGAATCACCTGGGAGGTTAAAGACAACACCCTTCAATGGGCCTCCAGGAGGTTATAATTTTCATCTAGAGTTGAGAACCACTATCCTACCCCCATCTGACTCCAACCTCACCAATCCAGCCTCCAACTTTCAGCCTGACACTATATCATTTAGGCTTCTGATGAGAACTGTCAAGCAAAGCTATCTTTCTTCCTCTTTCTTCACTTACTTTGAGATTTCCAAGAGGCCCTCAAGAGAGTATCAGTCCATTTTCCATGCAGTGCCAAGGATGCTCTATATTGCTACGTGCAGGCTGGATGTTCCAGGCCGTATGGGATATGCAGCTCACTTCCACAGGGTCCCTGGCTCTCCACCCCACCCCCACCGCTATTTTCATGTATGTCACAGGCTTGTGTTGAGGGAAGGCATGGGAGGTCCTATCCAATTTCCTAGCAATCTGTAACACAGGAAAGAGCGCCCTGCAGTCTGTCACTGCGATACAAATGCTTCTCACAAATACCTCAACCATTAGTCTCGCCCTGAACAAACAAACATTGTGCTAGGCAGAGCGCCATTGCCTGGATGACAGGAGAATGTGACTGTAATCGCAATGCCTGTTGAGTGTACGCAGTTATCTTTTAATATTAACGAAAGCTGTATGCAGCAAGCACCCCCACTCCCACCACACACACACAAATCCATATCAGCTGCCTCTCCACCTGACCATTTCTCAGGTAATGAATATGTCCAGGTAAATAAAATAGAGATGGGGTTGCCAGCACCTCCGTAAGATCTAATTCAAATCCTTCATTTTTGGAAAATCCACTCATTTAAACCCAAAATCAGGAACTTTGAAAAAAACAAAAAGTGGCAGCCTTTCAATTTGAAAATATAGTAACTTAACTGATGACTTTAAAAAATTTATAGAAAAGATAGCATTCTAAATTTTGACAAGTATTTTTAAGTCCAAAAAAAATAAATCACTGTGTCCCTCCATTAATTCCAACAATAGTATGTGGCTTTGCACATAACACAATCTAAATATTTATTTGCTTATATTTTGATCTCAGAAGTGGGAAGTCCATAGATTCATATACACTAACAGCTGCTGTTTATTGAATGACTGGTATGTACCAGGCACTTTGCTAAGTGCTTTCCAGGTTTCATTCCATTGAATTCCCTCAACCTGGTGGAGAACAACCAGGTTGTCTATTTTATTGATGAGTCCACGAGGCTTCAATAAATAAAGCAACACATCCAGAGTCCACAAAGCTAGAGGGTGGCTGAGCTGGTACTTGGAGAGAAGTCTGGCTAACTTCAAAGCCCTCAACCACTTATATTAACTATTATAGTACGTTATCCTTTATAAGTAGGTAATGTACTAAGATACCACTACCACCGACACTTTTTTAAAAACAGGGGGCAGAGACAAGCAACCTGAATTCTTATGTAACTTACTTATTTAAAGACTCTGTCTTTATTTTTGAAGACAGGGTCTCTCTCTGTCACCCGGGCTGAAGTGCAGTGGCGTGTGATCACAGCTCACTGCGGCCTCTACCTCCCAGGCTCAATCAATCCTCCTGTGTCCAGAGCAGCTGGGACTGCAGGCATGTGCCACCACACTCCACTAATTTGTCTTATTTTTTGTGGAGACAGGATCTCACTCTATTGCCCAGGCTGGTCTTGAATTCCTGGGCTCAAGCAATCCTCCTGCCTCAGCCTTCCGAAGTGCTGAGATTACAGACATAAGCTACTATGCCTGGCCTGAGTTATTTGACTTTTATTCTTGAGGAAAACATTCATTTTGGAGTGGGGGTGAGAATGTGGGATTTGGAATCTTGTCTCTGACATAAACTGACCACAGGCAAGTTACTGGACCTCAGAGAGTCCACATTCTCTTCTTTGAAATGGAAATAACGACGTCCACCTCATATAGCTGTTAGAAGAACCTACTGAAATAGCCATCTTTGGTACTCACTGTTAGCTTTCTTTCTTCTCTTTATTACTTTTTATTATTTTATTATTATTATTTATTTTAGACAGAGTCTCACTCTGTCACCCAGGCTGGAGTGCAGTGGTGTGACCTCGGCTCACTGCAACCTCCACCTCTTGGGTTCAAGCGATTCTCCTGCGTCACCCTCCTAAGTAGCTGGGATTATAGGCACCTGCCACCGTGCCCGGTTAATTTAATTTTTCTACTTTTTTTATTGTTGTTTTGTTTTATTTTTTAATAGAGATGGGGATTTCACCATGTTGGCCAGGCTGGTCTCGAACTCCTGACCTCAGGTGATCCGCCCACCTCAGCCTCCCAAAGTACTGGGATTACAGGTCTGAGCCACCGTGCCCGGCCTTTCTTTCCTCTCTTAGTCTCAGTGTCCTATTCTGTCAACTAGGGATAACAAACTTCATCATACCAACATAATATTATAAATAGTAGAATTGCTTTGAAAAATAAAGTTATGTTTTAGAGAAGCTTTATTTCAGATCATTAGCACTTTTAAGTGTTCTGACTCCATGAAGAGAAATTATAAATCATCACTTAGTCACCCTGAATAGCTCATATTTAAGAAAGTAGTCTTAACTTTATTATTTTCTAAATTATCTTGATTCATCTGTTTTTCAGCTGTGAGTTCTATTTTGTTTTTTACTTAGTGTTTCAACTAGTCGTTATTAAGCACCCATTAAGTACTCAGGCCCATAGGGAATTTTAAAAGTTGGAAATAGGATTCTTGCACCTAGGAAGGTAAGATATTTGGCTGGGTTTTCTATGCTGGAACAGTTCCTGTATCCCAATTGTAGTGATGGCTACTTGAATCTACAAGGATAACAGAATTTTGTAGAAAAACGTACACCCCCTTCCAAAAAAAGAACGCATGTAAAAATCAGTTAAATCTAAATAAGGTCTCTTACCTGAGTTAATGGCATTATGCCAATGTCAACTTCCTAGTTTTGACTATGTACTAAGGTTATGTAAGGTATTACATTGGCGGATGCTTAGTGAAGGCACATGGGAACTCTCTGGACTATACTGCAATTACCCATGAGTCTTTTTTTTTTTTCTTTTCTTTTTTTTTTGAGACCAAGTTTTGCTCTTGTCTCCCAGGCTGAAGTGCAATGACACGATCTCAGTTCACTGCAACCTCAGCCTCCCAGGTTCAAGAAATTCTCCTGCCTCTGCCTACCAAGTAGCTGGGATTACAAGTGTCAGCCACCATGCCTGGCTAATTATTTTATTTTATTTTGGTAGAGACGGGGTTTCACCACCTTGGCCAGGCTGGTCTTGAACTCCTGACCTCAGGTGATCCGCCCACCTCGGCCTCCCAAAGTGCTGGGATTACAGCGTGAGCCACCGTGCCTGGCCACCTGAATCTTAAAATATAAAAATAAATTAGGTGGGCGCAGTGGCAGCATCTGTAATCCCACCTACTTAGGAGGGTGAGGTGGGAGAATCACTTGAACCTGGAAGGCGGATGTTGCAGTGAGCCAAGATCGCGCCACTGCACTCCAGCCTGGGCAACAGGCGAGACTCTGTCCAAAAAAAAATAATATATATGGCTTATAAGAGGAAGCCTCTTATAAAGTGATATGGAAAGATTTCTAAGATGTATAGTTAAGTGAAAACCAAAAGGAAGATGTTGAAGCATGTATATAATACGCTACCTTTTGTGTAAAAGCAGGAAATACAGAAGAGATACTCATATTCCCACAGAGCATCAGGGAACAATGCAGGCTACATTAGAAACAGGACAGTGGTTACCTGCAGGGACCAGGAAGAAGGGACTTGACAGATGAGGCACAAAGACGAAAGAGAGAACGTTACACTTTTTGGGTTTTGAACCATGTAATGTAATATTTTTCAGAAAAACAAATCAAAAGACAAAAAGAAAAAAACTGATAACAACATAATGATAATACCAATGTGGAAACCTGGGTGTCAGGTCCATTACTGAACAATTTAAATACATTATTTGTGGCCAGGCACAGTGGCTCACACCTGTACTGATATAATCCCAATACTGTGGGAAGCCGAAGTGAGAGGACTGCATAA